TTATTATTATTATTATTATTATTATTATTATTGTTGTTGTTGTTGTTGTAGAAGGGTTACCCTCTTTAAAAATGGTTGAAATAAAAAAATTTAAAAAAATACACCCACTCTGACCCAAGACCCCTGTTACGCGCCTGGTGTTAATGTGTGCCCTTGTGCGGACAGGAGAAGCTGGAAACCTTGTTTTTGCAAAATAAATTGATGGAATTTGCTGTTATAGGCCTAATCAATAAATTCCTCATCAACCGATATAACCTTAAACATTCTTGGAATTGATATAACATTACTGATGTCGTACACACCCTTTAGTGTGAAATGTGGCTCTCTTTGCAAGCACATCTAACATCTAAGATAAACCAGATAAAATAATTTTGTTATCAACATTAATACATTATGCTAATTTTCATCTTTGTAAGCGCATAAGACAGTGCAAATTATTTGTGTGACAGTCTTCTGAAGTATGTAAAGATCCATTTTATCCCATACATAGTCAAAATATTGGGGGGGGATGATTCAATGGACCATCCCCCCCTTGTCAAATATTGGGGGGGATATATCCCCTCCATCCCCCCCGGAATCTACGCCTATGATCGTATCTATTGTCGTGACGTCATGGCTCGCTGGCTCACACACTTGCGATGTCTCGCACTTGTGATCAAATAACACGCTGGCTCGCACTTTGGCAGCAGTCAACTCGCCCCTAGAAAACCCGGCCTTGGAAACTTGCCCCATAAAAAAATGTACTCTTCCTAGACCACGCAGTCTTCAAAATAAAAATTGTAACCTTTGGTAATCAACTACATTTTCCACATACATAGAAATTTTGAAACTTTATTAAAAAAAACCTAAACCATAATTTACCACTATAGACACTTTTTGACAAAAATGAAAAATTACGACTTTGTTACCCAATGAGAAGTGTTCTAATAATATAGACAATGGGTCGTGTCTCATATTATTTGTTATATTTTTATTATTTATTATTTTCAATTGCACTCGCATAAATAATTTTGTTCGAAGAACATTATATGCAGTTGTACTTCGCAGCACTTCACTTGCAATTTGCAATTTCTAGTTAGCAAGAAAAATAATTGTCGGTAAGATTTTTAAGATGGGAAGTGCAATTTCCGGGCACTCAGGGTCCATATTCTCAAAAATGTTCTTTCACGCACCTCTCCTACCACCAAGTCCAGCATCCCACCTAGGAGGAGGTGTTTATGTGCATTACAATGGATTTATTGCTGACATTGAATGAACGAATTAATAAAAATAAAAGATCATTTGGGCCGCAGAAAATTGGTCATTCGAGGGAATTTTTTTTAGAGGCCACGTCTATAGCGCCATCTTCTGGAATCCGATACCAGACAACGACAGACTGACTGTCACCTCAGCCCCAAGCAGGATCAGTTTGCAACAGTCACTGGTAGTAGTTAATGAGGAAGGATATACAGCAGCTGTGAGAGAAAGGTAGGCCTAATTTCGTTTTGACTGTGAAAGTGAAATGCGTTGTTTTAAATTGTAGGCCTAGTGTATTTTATGAGAATTCTTCATTTGTTAAGAAAGAAAAATTGGATCAATTATTATTATTTCCAGCATGATACCTAGACTTACAAACGAGCAAGATTAATTTTGCCACTTTAGATCTTATCGCATTCCTGAGAGGGAGACTCGCAGCGGCGTTTGTTGGGGTCTGTATCAATCTCTCAACGCATAAGGACCAAAATCTCGTGCATAAATATAATGCCTGTATTATATAAAATATATAGGCCTAAGTATACTACTTGTGACCTTCTTACTAAAAATTTTCCATCAACAGTACTCCAAATTTCATCCTAATATCATGTATATCAAGCGCTGCAATTGCACTACTGTAGATATGTTTTATACGGGCTTGTCGGGTGAGATCAAAGGACGCGTAATGCCAGTGTGAAAAAAATCGTGTGACATGCGTGTATTCTCAAATAATTCAATTCAATTCAATTTCATTTAATGCTTCGAAAGCCATCTTCGGCCAATATCCGCTAAAAACATCCACAAAAAAGTTAGAAATTCACGACAGAACACATTGATATATAGGCCTGTCAGGAAAAATTTGGTCCGGGGCCAAAATCGGTCCGTTACCTGCCAAATGTAGTCCACAAAGCCAAAATCGGTCCGGCATCTATTTAGTAGTTATAAACTGTATTTTTTATCGTCGTTCAAATTTGTTTTTAACCAAATGATAGATAAATATGTTGCTATATGCACTTTTGCACCTACTTCTTAGTTTTTTTACCTCAATTTTTTTCTCACAGTCACAACATATAAATTAACAAACATTTTCACCTGATTTAACCACTCACAAAGTACCTTTTTCAACAAATAAGTACAGCGAATCTGTGTTCCCTAGCACGACGAGCGGCTGCCATTTTTCAATCATTAAGAAATTGCCAGAACTTTTAATTCTTAATGTTTTTACCTCAATGTTCTTCTCACAGTCACAACATATAATTAACAAACATGTTCACATGATTTAACCAATCACAAAGTACCTTTTTCAACATATAAGCCCACAAATAAGTACAGCGAATCTGTGTTCGCTAGCATGACGAGCAGCTGCCATTTTGCAATCAGGAAGAAATTGCCAGAATGAGTTTGCAGCGTGAAGTTTTTTGATTAAACGTTTATGAAAACTTATCTATTTGCCGTATTGTATGTCATTCTTTATATTGTATGGTGCTGTTTTTTGACTATATGTGTTCACATGAAAAATATACTTCAAAAATTATTAATGATCCAAATGCGTACACAGATCGAAAAATAGGGCCTAGGCCTAAATCCAGAAAAACAACTATTAAAGTTGGTTCGATTAACCTCGATTACGACAAGAAAGTTCAAAAAGATGGTACTTGCATGATGCCACATATTGTTGTCAGATGTTTCATGGGAAAATTCCAATTAAAATTATAAGACTGGCTTTTAATGGTTTCAAAATTTAAGAATTGACTCAGACATTCTGGCAATTTCTTACTTGATTGCAAAAAAGTACAGCTCGTCATGCTAGCAAGCGTGGGAACCCTGTATCAACCTATATTTATAAGGTATCTTTTTGTTGAAAAAATGTACTTTATGAGTGGTTGAATCATGTAAAAATGTTTTATAATTATGTGTTGTGACTTTGAGAAGAAAATTCAAGTATTAAAAAATTAAGAATTAAAAGTTAGGTGCGAAAGTGCATTAGCGCCAATAAATATCTCATCTCATAGTTATAGGCGTATAATATTTTTTTTCATTCGTTGTGTGTGCAATTGATTGACAAAAATTAGAATGTTATTTTTGCTCTTCGCACCTAGTAAACTCTTAGGTGTAAAAGTTAGAAAAGAACTAAAACGATATGATTGTAAATCGTGTTGGTCCGCTTTAGTTTATTTTTTATCTTGTTTTGTTTTGGTTGTGTGCATGGCTAACGCCGCGACAAAATGGTAGAATAATGAACAATCATTTCAAATAAGGCCGCGACAAAATGGTAGAATAATGAACAATCATTTAAAAAAAAAATTATTGACCCCTTTTATTTTCATGTAATAGAAAAACAATTGTATGACCTAATACCACACATAATAATATGGAATATTTAAAGCTAATAAATCAGACTTGTGTTTCATTTTAGGCTCAAAAAACTTAGGCCAAGCACGGCCTCCAAAAATTCTGATGTGTGTCGCCTAGGCATTACCATGTATGTTTGACTGTCCACAACAGAGTCCACACCCGGGTCCACAAAAGCTATACAAATCATTCTGTCACTGCAAAAGATTTTTCAAGTGTGGGAGAAGCATAATTATACCCAGCAGGCAGCGGACGCAAACGGCCAGGCCGACAAATTTTATCCAAGGGGGACCGATTTTAGCAGCTAAAATCAACCCAGTAGACCGATTTTAGCAGCCAAAAGTAGTCCGACTTTGGTGGCTAAAATCTGTCCGCTGGACCATTTTTGGCCCGTACCAATTTTGGCGTGACAGGCCTATAAAAATATGGAAAAACTACAACAATTGTCAAATTACCGGTCGAGGAGCAGTTTGACAGTGGATGGTCAAATCAGAGATGGATCAGTAGAAATGCAAATAAAATATAAAAGGGAATAATGCAGATCGTGAATGCATTTTCGAGCATGTAGGAAGTAAAATCTCTGGGGGTAGGGGATAGAATACCATACCCCTAGGTAGGGGGAGAAATTTCCCGAAGTCTCACCTGCAAATTTGTTTGTGGAATATCTGCCCAATAATACTTGGTAACAGAGTAGGTTGAAGATTTCATTTAGAATTTACAGTGGTGGATTCAAGGGTGGGGTGGGGGGCTCACTCTTAAATAATTCTATACGGGTAGGTGCCGCATTTACAGGGGTATTTTTGAGGACTTGGTAGCACAAGTGTGGAAATTTATTGAAGATTTTCAGCATGTATAGTGTATATTTGCGAGGACTTGGTAGCACAAGTGTGGGCAATACCTAGGTAAAATTGGTAGTTAAAGTCGAAGTAACATAATTTTTCACATGATTTTAGCGAAATTTTTTTTGCTAACCTCAATCCTAATTCTACCGTTGATACATGGCCACAAACAGTAGAGATCGCTAACAAACAGAACCGTGGTCTTATTCGCCATCGGGAACCAGTACAAGTTAAATTTGGTAGGTTACATGGCCGTAATAGTAGTTCAACGGCGACACCGGATTTTGGTAAATGGTACTTCAAGTCCATAATAATTTTCAGTAAAATAGGTAGCGCAAGTGTCTAATGTCTTAGAGTGGCTGCTGCACCCCCTCGTAAGGTTGCTATACAAGTGTGCCCCCCGGGATTCAAGGGGGATGGGGGAAGCCCACCCAGTCATCTCAAAATTTTCAGTCTGAAAGTACCATATCCAGCAATCTAGACCCTCGTCTGTGAAGTTGATTCATGTTTGTATAGACCTTAGGCCTCAAGTTATCAATTTTACTGATTTCACTATTATTGGTAATGTTTTTCCGAACATTTCGCAATTAATATTCAGTGTTAATAATAAATCTGTTTTATTGTAAATTAATTTCAGGTTAACACAACAATTACCAATGTAGGTCCCGTCAAGAAAGGAAGTAATATCCATATCACAACTCACTTTTATACGGTAAATTTATACTAAAGTTTTTGAAGTATTTATTCCAGTCTGATTTCTCATAGGAGTAGCTTAGATATGATCTTCAGAAATTACCACAATTTGCCTATATGAATAAAGTATAAATGAATAGATTAATCCAAAAACATTGGTTTTGTGCATATTGCTGTATTCACTCAGCCTGTAGACCTGTAGTGTGTTATACCTTTTTTCTAAACAAACTACAATGTACCTTTTTTATAAATCGTTTTTTTATTATCTTTTTACTTATTAAAGGGTGGTTACGCCCCTTTTTCAACCAGTTTATAAGTACAGTAGAACCTCGTTTTTACGTACCCCAGTTATACGAACCCTCGGTTTTACGTACGCCTCGTATCGACGATGACGGCATCAAAAACCCCGAAAATATTCAAAACAAACGGCCCTTTTCAGAGCAACCATAAGTAAAAAGACTATAACAATAAACTATAACAATAAACAAAGCATAATGCAACGTATTTTCATTAAACAGCAACGTTGATTGAGTCTAATACCAGGTTGTTATAATCTAAAACCATGTGAAATGAGTGGGATGAACAACTACTGATGGTGCTCAAAATAATTGCTTTCCTCCTTAGCTTCGTGTGGCAAACCATGGAAACACTTGTCTGGTCGAATTTTCTACACGGAGCTGAGTAGGCATAGTTTCGTACACGAATGCTAATTGGTTGGCTCGCCCAGTGCAGCGCACATGGTTGCTGTTTCACGTACACGAACGCTAATTGGTTGTGCAGCGCACATGGGTTTAGTTTGTCTCAATAGGCCCAGACAACACCACAGCACTGTTGTTTAAAATAGGCATGAAGGGGAATTCCCAAGTTATACCTCGTATAGGTAATCTTACAACATTTTCATGTTCTTTAGTTAAATAAAATATATAAAGTGATGAATTAATACACTAGACACACGGTTTTATTTGAACACTTTATTATGACATCGTAAAGTGATGAATAAAAACACTAAACACATGGTTTATTGTAGGCCTAGAGGCTTGGTCTAGCCTAGCTAGGTAACATCGTTCGTTCATACATACGTATATTGAGCGTTACGTACGTATTAGGTCAAAGGTTACCACAAATTTAACCCAACCTCTATTTTACGAATCCCCCGATTTACGTATGCCCTCCGGTCCCGTACCGTACATAAAATCGAGGATCTACTGTAATTAAAAATCTGTATTTCATTAACACAGGCTCATTAATCACAGATTTTTGCCAAATCTGCTTTTTGTGTCTTAGAAAAATCAACAAATATATCAACAATTTTTTTTCCCTCCAGAGCATGGATTTAATGTTAATGTTTTGTTCTATCATTTTTTCATTTTTTGTATGCTGTGTATTAAATCTTTATATAGACGGCTGAGAAAAAAGAAATTTATTGCACATTTGCTTTTGCAATGACCAATAAAAGTTTGGCATTCTGTATTCATGCTTGCAGTTCTGTTGAAATTGTGGATAAAATGATAAAACAAATAAGGATGTCCTGGTACTGGTATAGGCATTTATAATGTGCCTCTTCCTTGAGGTTATAAAGCGCAGTTCTTTTCCCTGGTTATTGGGTCCATATGCTTTAAGTGTTGCTGCTGGTAATCAGCGCAGGAGCTGACAACCT